CCTGTGCTGAGCCCAGGCCCCCTCCCCCCTTCCCTTTCAGGGGGCCGGGTGAAGACGTGGAAGCGGCGCTGGTTCATCCTCACTGACAACTGCCTCTACTATTTTGAGTACACCACGGTGAGGACTGGGCGGCGCTGAGCCGCGGGGCCTGGGGGCGGGGCCGGGGGTGAGCATTGGGAGGTCCGAGTCCTGTCCTACTTGCTCTTTCAGGACAAGGAGCCCCGAGGAATCATCCCCCTGGAGAATCTGAGCATCCGGGAGGTGGACGACCCCCGGAAACCAGTAAGACCCTCCCTGTACCCCTTCCTGCCGCAGCGGCGGCTCCTCTGCCCTCAGGCCGGCTCTTACCTACCGCCCCTCTTCGGTGTCTCCCCAGAACTGCTTTGAGCTTTATATCCCCAACAACAAGGGGCAGCTCATCAAAGCCTGCAAAACGGAGGCAGATGGCCGCGTGGTGGAGGGGAACCACATGGTGTACCGGATCTCGGCCCCCACGCAGGAGGAGAAGGATGAGTGGATCAAGTCCATCCAGTGAGCCGGGCTCCGGGGCCCGGGGACGGGGGTGGCTGGGACCGGACCCCCTCGCCTCACCCCAGGTCCCTCCCCTCCCGCAGGGCGGCTGTGAGCGTGGACCCCTTCTACGAGATGCTGGCCGCCCGGAAGAAGCGGATTTCTGTCAAGAAGAAGCAGGAGCAGCCCTGACCCCGTCCCCCCCGTTATTTATTACCGCGCCGCCCGCCCGGGGGGCCGGACCCCTGGGGCTGGGGCTGTGGATGCTGGCTCCCCGTGTGGAAAACTACCACCTCTGGTTCCTCTCTCGTTATTTGTAATTAACGCACTGTTGGTAATAATTATTGAACTGCTCGCGGCCTGCTGACCTCTCATTTCTCGGGGTTGACAGCTGTCCATCCAGGGCCGGCAGTGCTGGTGTCTGTTGGGAGCTGTCAGTGGAGCGAAGGGTGCTGGCCAAGAGGGTAACCCCCCTGGGGCCTCTCGGGTGGCTCCGTTCTCATTGTGCCCCAAGCCTGCAAGGGTGGTAATGGGAGGCGGGGCGGTTGGTGTAGCCGGAGCTGGTGTTGCTTTAGAATGTCACGGGCACGCAGGTATTCCCAGGTGAGGTATGGCACCCACTCAGATGCCGTCTGGCAGCCGGAGCCGCGGGTGCTGGCCCCTATAGCAGCTTGTGGTCTTTGATGGGTGACAGTTAATAGCTGTGGGGTTGTGAGCTGGTTTGAGGGACAACCAGAGAGCTGGACGGGCTGTGAAGGGGACCTAGGGAGGCCTGGGAAGGAGGGACCGGAGGAAAGAAGGGGGAGGCCCAGCATTGGACGCAGCAGGTGGGGGAAGAGGTTGCTGGTGTTGGGAGTGGGCTGGGCCCGTGGACGGTGCCAAGAGGCAGGAATGCGGTAGATGGACCGGTTCCTCAGCCGGGGATTAACCTCCTCGTGAGGACATTGAACACCCGGCAGCGATAGCGCCGAGAGCCTGTGCTTCTGTAACCTCCTCCCATTTCCCGGAGTCACGGCCTCTGGAGTGCAAGGACTGAGGGCGCCCCCAAGAGCCAGGTCCGGGCCTGTCCACCTGTGCCCTCGAGCTCCAGGCATGCGTGGTGTCCCCTTGGAGCAAAGAGGTGGTGTGGCAAATTGGGAGACCCCATGTCACTCCTGTGCCCAGATGTGCAGCTGAGGAGACTCCAAGGACCACAGCTCTGGCAGGTCCCTGGACTGACTGCCCCGCGGAATGCAGTTCCTCCCGCACCCTGCATCCTCCGGACGTCGAATCCCTAACAGATTGCTCCTGGTGGGGTGGGGTGGGGACCCCCCCCCCACACACACACCGCCTCTCCCGTGGGCAGGGCTCCTAAGTGCGATAGCAGTCACCCTCTCCTGCGAGAGCCGGACCACAACTCCCTCCTGGCAGGCTGTGCTGCTCTGGGCGCCCCACTGCCGGGAGAGTCATTCCCGAGGTCTCCTGGGAGTTGTAGTTTCTCAAGACAATGCTGTCAGCTTTACGGTAGCCTGGTGCCCCACCAGGTTGGGAAAAGAGGCCCTGACTGCTTCAACCCCCAGGGGCTGAGGGGAAATGGATTTTCTGACTCCTCCCCAAGGTTCCAGGGAAATGGAGTCATCCACCCCAGAAGGTTGTGGTAAATGGGAGCCTTGGGTAAGGTAAGGGTCTCGACACTCTCTCACCCGACCCTGCACTCCTCCATGGGTCCTTAGTGCCGACTAGCGGGAAGCAGCTGGCTCCTTGGAGAGGCCCTGGAAGAGCATCCCAGGCAAAGGGAACAGCATGTGCAAAGGCAGGAAGACGCACGGTGGGTTGGAGTAACTGACAGACCAGTCTGCCTGTTTGGTGGTGACGGTGGGGGAGGGTGACAGAAAATGAAGGGACAGCCTTAGCCGGTTTCTCAGGTGTTAGAGCATCAGCCCGAAGACGGAAGGGTTGCAGGTTCAATTCAGGTCAAGGCACTTCGCTCGGTTGCAGGCTCAATCTCCCTCCCCCCCCACCCCACCCGCTGGGGTTGGGGCATACCAATCGATGTGTCTCTCACCTCAATGTTTCTCTCTGTCTCCCACCCCCTACCTTCCACTCTCGGATTAACAACGAGAGAGAGAGAGAGAGAGAGAGAGAGAGAGAGAGAGAGAGACAGAGACAGAGAGAGACAGAGACAGAGACAGAGAGAGAATATGGAAATGAAGGGGATGCATGGGCCTCATCATTCGGGGCCAGTACGTGGAATGTATTCTCAGTTGGTGGAGGCCATCCAAGGGCTGATGTGGTGCATTTGGGTGGAGGCTGTAGGCAGGGCCCTGGGCTGCTGCAGGGAGGTTTGGACCTGAGAGGCTGGAGGAAGGGAGGCTAGGAGGCTGTGCAGTCAGCCAGGGGGAGGGTGTGGCTGCAGAGGCGGGACAGTGGCCCCTGTGAGTCGTTTCGGAAGAGGAGCCAGTAGGACTTGCTGAGGGCTGGGTCAGTTGGGATTCTGGCTTGAGTATCTGGTGAACGGCATTGCCATTGAGTGAGATGATCAAAGAGGGAGTGAGTGTGTGTGTGTGTGAGTGAGTGTGGTGGTGGGACATCAGTGGTTCTGTTTTAGCCAAATTAAGCTGGATTGTCGGCGGATCATTCAAGTGAGACTCCAGTCATCTCAAAATTGCCCTTCAACAACCCCCCCCCCCACCACCTCAATCCCTCCAAGGACTAAGAATTCTAGCTTCCAGCTCCCTCCTCTCCCAGGACCCCAAACTCCCAACCCCCTTGTTATAGGTGACCCTCCAAAATCCATATGTTGAAGTCCAAGTCCCCAAGATCTCAGAATGTGACCTTATTTGGAAATAGCATCATTGCGGATAAAATTAGTGAAGATGAGGTCACTCACATGGGCCCTAATCCAGTATGACTGATGTCCTTCCTTCTCCCAAGGGATATTTTGAACACAGAGACACACAGGGAGAATGCTGGGGAAAAATAAAGGCAGGGGTGGGGGCGATGCCTCCTCCAAGGAACCCCAAAGACTGCCAGCAAGACTCCAGAAGCTGGGAGAGAAGCAGGGGACGGGCCCTCCCCTCAGCCTCAGGAGACCAGGCCTGCTGGCACTTTGATCCTGGACTCCTGGCCTCCAGCACCGAGTCAATAAACGTCTGTGACCTAAGCCTCCCAACTTGTGGTGCTTGGTTAAAGGAGGCCTAGCGAACCGACGCACCCCTCCTCCCCCAGGCCCTCACCGCACGCCTGGCGTGGTCCATGCAGCCCCCTGCCCCGGCAGGCATGTCCCAAGGTCAGTTCAAGCACCACCAGGTCTACTGGTGGCAGCAGTGGGAAGAGGCACCCACTACGTCCTCTCTCCCCCTTTCTCCATCCCCCAGACTCAAACGTGACCCTCATGCCCTGAGTCCACAGCATCCTCGCTCAGTCCCTCCTCTCGTATCCAAACGATATCCCTCAAATACGCAAATGAATCCGGTCCCAAGGTGATGGGGAACAGGCTGAAACCAGAAGATGAGCTAAAAACAGAGACCCCGTCAGAGAGAGATGGAAGCACAGTCAGTCCAGAGTCAGGAGGAACCAAGAAGCAAAACATCGAGACAAAAACAAGGCAGAAAGGCACAGGGGAGACAGGAAGGCCATCGGGAGACACGGCCGAGGGAACACGTAGAGACAGTGGCCTTGGCCGGTGTGGCTCAGTGGACAGAGCGTCGGCCTGTGGACTGAAGGGTCCCAGGTTCCATTCCAGTCAAGGGCACATGCCCGGGTTGCGGGTTTGATCCCCACCGGTGGGTCTTGCAGGAGGCAGCCGATCAATGATTCTCATCATCGATGTTTCTCTCTCTCTCTCCCTCTCCCTTCCTCTCTGAAATCAATAAAAATAAAAAATATATAAAAAAAGCAGAGATAGCGAACTCAAAGAAATAGTAATAGAACTAGATGAGAAAAGAGGCCGAGTGGCAGACACAAACGGGGAGATGGGCAGATTCCAGGGCAGGTGGTGGCCGGAACTGGGGCCGGTGAGACGCGGAGCTGAAAGGGACAGAACCGAAGGGAGAGATGCCCATGGAGAGATGCAGTTAGGCGAAGGCCAGAGGCCAGAATGCCGGGGAGGTCACATGCAGAAACGGGTAAACTGAGGCAGGGCCTTGCTGAGGCGTGTGGGATGTGGCTGGTCAGTGTAGGTTGCTGGCAGGTCACTCCTGGGCACCCCTCGCACCAGGCCTGGCCCTGGGACAGCTTCTGGCCCCCGCCACAGGCCGCCTTGTGGAAACAGCTCTGGCCTCCACCTGTGACCTTCCCTGGCCCTTACCAGTGCCTCCTGGCCGCCGGTGAGCCGAGGCTGCAGCCGGTCAGTGATGCTGACCTCGGAGCGGAGCCGGGCGTCTCGGCCCTCCTGGGCCTCGATGTTCCCGTCTGTCCGCCTGGGTGGTGAGGATGGCGGCGTCTCCTGGGTGGCCCCTGCTCCCTGCATCCTCCCCTCTTTGCCCCCCGAAACACACAGAGGCCCCGCATTCCTCCAAAAAGTTGTTTTTGTCTTTTTTAAATAATGTGAAAATGCCACGCGAAGGTTTGAACCAGAAGCCCCTCCAGGGGCCAGGCTGGGGCGGGGAAGGGGAATCGTGAGATGGGGGGTCCAGGTCCCCCAAAGCCTGCGGCCCCGTCTGAGGTGGGAGAGGGTGAGGAGGGGCCTCCGCTGTGCCCAGGGGCTCCGGGCCCGAAAAAGTCCAGTTCAGTTCCAAGAAGGTGGCTCTCCGGGGAGGGGGAGGGGCTTCCTGCCTCATTTGGCACCGAGGGGGTCGGGGGGATCAGGGGAGCCGTCCGGGGGGCTGAGGGGCAGGGGGCCAGGGCCTCCTGTTTGGCACATGGTGGGGGAGGGGGAGGGCCCAGCCTCAGGGGCCTCCCCAGAGGCGGTGTCTGAGGTGGTGGCAGTGGCTCCGTCGTCCACAGAAGATTCTATTCTCAACCCCTCTTCTGGGGGCACAGGGGGTTCGGGTCTTTGGGGGGTCAGTTCTCCACAGGGCCTGATGACAAAGGGAGTGGAGAGAGAAGCAGGGTTACTGGGCAGAAAGGCTCATTGGGAGGGAGAGCAAATCCTTACTGTGGCTCCCAGGTGCCAGCCCCCCGCCCTCCCCGCAATCTGCTGGGCCCCTTCCTGTCCCCACCTGGCCCCTCCCCTCGCTCACTCTGCTGCAGCCAGCAGCCTCCTCGCTGCGCCTTCTGGGCTCCAAGCTCAGTCCTACCCCAGGGCCTTTGCACATGTGGTTCCCACTGCACAGAACCCCTGCCCTTAGCCCTCCATGAACTCAGGCCGCTGCTGGACGCCCCCTCCCCAGAGGCCTCCCCTGGCCATTTTCAGTCAAGCAGATGCCCCCCCACCCCCGTGGCATTGTCCTATGGCTACTTTTCTCGTCCTCCTCTGGGATCATCCCAGGCAGAATCCCAGAGCTTCCTGTCTGCTTGCCCCTCTAGAATGTACGCTCAAGGAGGTCGGGTCTGTAGTCCCTGCTGCATCCCAGCGTCCCGCACCGGGCCTGCCACAGGGCGCCCTCCCACCTGCCTTCCCCGGACCCCTCCTCTCCAAACGGAAGGGACGGTCCCCGCCCCATTCCACACCCCAGAGAAACAAGGGCTTTGGGATGGAGGACCTCGCCGGGGGCCCCTCACCGGCGCCCTCACCCTCCACCCCACCTCTTCCCTGCGTGGTCTCGGTCAGGTCGCTGCCCTCGCTCCCCAACCCTGTGCTTCAGCTTCCTTCTCGTTAAGCGGGGAGCACGACCCTCGTGTCCTTTTCAAAGGAGTGGGGAGACTCTGGGATATGAGGCATCCCTCAGCACCCAGGGGGCATTTGTTGAGTGGGGGGCAACGCCACGTGAGCACAGGGGTCGGCGGAGTCAGGGGGCCCTGCCTGGCTCCCCAGCCTCCCAGCCCAGTGGCAGGGGACCGGCTGCCGCCTGAGGAAGGCACTTGGGGTTTCAGACAATCCGCCCTCCCTCTCGCTCCCGGTGATTAAAGGTAAAGTCATCTTCATTGCTGGCCCGGCAGCCCGAGCCCTGACTCACCACTTGGCCGCCGTCCCCACGCCCTGGAACCCACCCTGTCCTCACGGGGGCCTCAGAGAAGGCCTCTGGGAGGAAGTGACATTTGGGGTGAAAGCTGACAATGCAGCCAAGTGAAGTCAGCCCTCGGCCCCCTCCCTCTGCCCTTGACTCCATGTGTCCTCGAGTCTCCCTCCTGGACTGTGACCCGGCCTCCTTCCCAGGCCCGTCGGCCCCATGTGGCCCCAGGGGGGTCCTGCTACACCCGGGGCTGAGTTGCCCCATCCTGATCACGGCCCTCCCATGGCTCCCTAACTCCCCAGGACTAAGGCCCCACCCCTCAGCCCATCCCCAAGCCCTACATGGTCTGCCCCGCCCCTGTCGCCTTCCCCTCCCCTCCATCTGCCCCAACTCTCTTAGTCACCCCCACACACACCGCTTCCCTTCTGTTCCTTAAGCTGGCCAAGCTCTCTCCTGCCTCAGGCCCTTTGCGCAAGCTGTTCAGCCTGCTAGCTTGCTCTCCCCTTCCTCTTCACCTAGTTAACGACCATCATCCCTCAAATCCCTGGTTAAGGGGCACGTCCACGGTTCGCCGGGGAGACAAAGCCCTTTCCTGTTGTCACCTGCTTTCTCGGATGACTGTGGGGTCAGCGTCAGGGGGCGGGGCGGGCTCATCGACCTGGCTCAGCTGGGAATCCCGGTGCCCAGCACCGCACCTGCACACGGCCGATGCTCAATAAACGTCTACCGTTTAAGCACAGAAGCAGCTACCAGCTGGAGACCACTCACTGCTCTGGGCCCTGGCTCCGTGCTCCGTGCACGGGGAGCAGTAAGCCAGGTAAACCCTCTCGACATGGAGCGTGTGATCGCCCCCATTCCACAGATGAGGAGACCGAGGCCCAGGGAGGGAGAGCAGCTCGCCTTACCTCACTTAGCAGGGCCCGCTCGTGGGGCGCAGGCACGATTTGGGGAAGCAGGAATGGAACCCACCCAGTGGTCCCTCCTACCTTCGCAGTTCTGCCTGCCTGCCTGCACCTGCCTGGCCCAGGGCAGTTCTCGGTGTCGGCAGCAGGAGGCGCAGAGCGCCTGGGTCTCATCCCTCTCTAGTCCCAGTTCCGCCCTGAGCCAGGGCTGTGCCCCCCTCTCGGTGAGGACGGCCTTAGCTCTGGGACATCAAAAACTGAGGGTGACGTGCGCCTCTTCTAAGCCCACAGAAAAGGGCTTGACAAACACTGACCACGGGAGCGGGCCAGGCAGCTGGGGTCTGTACCCCGGCTCCCCACTCCCCTCCTGCCTGGGTTTTCTCCGGGGATGAGACCAGAATCCACCCGGCGGGATCGCAGCGAGGATTAAATGGGCCGAGGTGCGGCAAGCACAGGGTAGGGTCTCTGCCAGCGCCTGCTATTATTATTATTATTATTATTATTATTATTATTATTATCAGTGTAACCATTGTTATTGCTGTGGGATCCTGGCCAGGTTCTGTCTGCTCAGGCTCATACCACCCAGCTGGGCCCCGGGGCCCCGCTCCTGGTCTGAAGGGAGGGGGGCTGAGGAGCCTGGAAGGGCCAGGCAGGAGCCCCACCCAGAGATGGGGCGACGATGGGGAGGACTCGGAGGAGATCACCACGGCTCGGGGAGGCCCGTCTAATGGACACCGCCTGGTCCGAACGGGTCCAGAGTTTGGGGGGGTCTCGGCGATGAGCAGCGTTGACAGAGGGGAAGGAGGGGACTGAGGTGGGGGGGGGGCAGGGGGAGTCAGACGTGGGGACAGGACTGCGGAGGGAGACCCATGGGGACAGAGAGAGCCCGGTAACCGGGTGGGATCTGAAGCACGTTACCTGCGGGCCTGGCGTCGGGGGCCCGGGTGGGCGGCCCCGGGGTCTCCAGCGCAGGCGAGACGGAGAAGCGGGAGAAGCACAGGGGGGGCCCTGGCGGGGGGAGGAGGGGGAAATCCTCCGCCCACTCGAAACTGCCTCCTGGCGGGAGGGGGTGCGGGGGGAGAGCAGAGGACGAGGTCAGATTCTCAGACGCTCCGGGAGCCCGTCCACCTTCAGCCCCGCCCCTTCCCCAGCCCCGCCCCTCCAAGGCCCCGCCCCTCCCAAGCCCCCACTCCTCTCAGGCCCCGCCCCTTCCCAAGCCCCCACTCCTCTCAGGCCCCGCCCCTTCCCAAGCCCCCACTCCTCTCAGGCCCCGCCCCTTCCCAAGCCCCCCCCCCGCTCCTCTCAGGCCCCGCCCCTCACCAAAGCCGCTGTCGTTGCTGGGAAACCCATCTGCGGGGGTGGCGGGGTGGGGAGGCGTCGGGGGCGCTGGCGGCGTAGACGGGTCCGTGTCCCCCTCGGGGGGGCCCTGGACGCTCAGCTCGTTGGTTGGCGTCTCCTATGAAGACAGAGGAGGGGGGGCGAGAGGGGGCGAACCGTCACGTCCCACCACTGCACCCCAGCAAGCAACAAGCCCCGCGAACATTTCTCAGTTCATATTAAACGCTCTGGGGATGCCTGCACCCCCTCATTTCTCTACTCTGCCTTCGAAGCCGCGGGACAGCCTTAACCGCACCC